CCCACAGCTCCCAAAGTGGCTTACAAATTCTAATGAAATTTAGCATGTTTTAAGATTGAAAACTGTTGAGCTGCATCTGTTGGGATTTTTCCCTGCGCAGTAAATGAAAATTCACAAGATACAGAAGCACCTGCTGGGACCAAGCACAACAGATGGAGAGGCAATACGGGGGGTGCAGTGTCCACTCCCAGATGTTAGCCATCCATGCTCACCCCACCCAAAATAGCCCCTGGTGAGCAGATTCCCAACAGACCCGGATCTGGTCATGAGGGACGTGCGGATGGCTCCACCTGCCCTCCTCCTTACAGCCTCATCGCTTTGGTTCCAAAACAAGTGACCAACAAAGAGACCAAGTGTGTGTGTAAAGTGCCATCAAGTCGCAGCCAACGTACGGCAACCCCATATGGTTTTCAAGGAGAGAGACAGGCGGCAGTGGTTTGCCATAGCCTGCCTCTGCACAGAGACCCTGGTATTCCTTGGAGGATCTCCCATCCAAATACTAACCATAAGAACGTAAGAAACCCCAATGTTGGATCAGGCCAAAGGCCCATCCAATCCAACACTCTGTGTCACACAGGGGCCAGAAATACCAGGTGTCCTCAGGGGGGCCAGGACACTAGAAGCCCTCCCACTGTTGCTCCCCCCCCCAAGCACCAAGAAGACAGAGCATCACTTGCCCCAGAGCCCCTATCTATACCTTGTGGCTAATAGCCACTGATGGGCCTCTGCTCCATATGCTTATCTAATTCCCTTTTGAAGCCGTAGCCACCACCACTTCCTGTGGCAGTGAATTCCAAGTGTTAATCACTCTTTGGGTGAAGAAGTACTTCCTTTTATCCGTTCTAACCCGACCGCTCAGCAATTTCATGGAGTGCCCACGAGTTCTTGTATTGTGAGAAAGGGAGAAAAGTACCTCTTTCTCTACCTGCTCTTTCCCATGCATAATCTTATAAACCTCAATCATGTCACCCCTCAGTCGCAATGCATGGCTAGGAATAAATACAGTGAAGCAACATGTTGAATACCGGCAAACAGATTGATGACTTACTGAACCAGTCCTCGAAAAATCGTCCCTGCTTGTGATCAGTGAACAGAGCATGAGCCAAACTGGCAGGTGTTCATATGTCCCTAGCCAGGAGTAAGCTACGATGTCCATGTTTGTACAGAATGCAGAACCGTATTTAAGACTAACTGTGGTTCAGCACTGACCCTGCTTAGTTTTCAAGGTCTGACAAGACTGGGCTAAGCCTGGATCATCCAGGTCAGGTCATGAGCAATACTGATGCTAGAAACTGCTGTCAAGTAGCAGCTGAATTATGGCAACCCCAGAGGGCTTTTGAGGCAAGAGACGAACCGAGGTAGTTTGCCTGGCTCTGCCCAGTAACCCTCGGCTTGCTTGGTGCCTTGGCATCCAAGCACTAACCAGGGCTGACCCCCGCTTAGCTTCCAAGATCGTTTTCATCAAAGTCTTGCAGTCTCTTTCCTTTGCCCATCTTAAAACTTACACCAGTAGTGTAAAGATAAAGGTATTGTACAGGTAAAAAGGAAAAGGAGGAACCCAGCTAAACAGCCATAAATTCTAGTTTTCAGCACTGCTGCAGAAATTGGGCTATTCCTTTCCCCTTATCTTACTATTTGGCAGCTTCCTAGATCTGATGAGATCGGGCTAGTCTCAGATATCCAGGTCAGGGCTAAGAGGTCTTAGAGAAGCACGTTTTAGTCTATCTCCAAGGATATGAACTAGTCAAGTTACTAGTTCCCAGGACTGCAATAATTTTAAAATCTTATTAAAATATTTATACTCTGCCTTTCCTCTTGGGTCAAGGCATCTTTCAAATAATAACTTCAAATAATCCATGCTTAACTTCACAAGCAAACTTCAGCATGTTCTTAGAAACCAGAGACGTAGGGTAGGTGCAGACAATAAGGAGTACTTTCTGGAGGGGGCACTAACAGTATTCTACGAGGGCCTTCATAAATCAGAGCAACACAATAATAGCCTCAATGTAAGCGGGCAAAAACACTGCCATTTAAATGGCTTCAATGAAAAAATGACAAAATATGTGTGTCAGCACATCCCAGGGTCTTAACATTTATTCCCCAGATTACAGGAAGAAAGTACGAAACTCAGTTTGCTTCCTGCGGAAGAAATGGATTGAGCACCAATTGCTGCGATCCTGTGGATGCTTGCCTGGAAGTAAGTTGCAATGGATGCAATGGGCCTTACTTCAAAGTAACCAGAAACAGGGTCCAATGTTCCCTCTAAGCTGAGTTAGTGCGACCTAGCTCACCATTTTTAGCCTCCAGCTCACACATTTTTGTCTTAGCTCAGGAAGGATAGCTCGCTCACAACTTTAATGCCAGTTACTCACAAAGAAGAATTTTTGCTCACAAGACTCCACAGCTGAGAGGGAGTATTGAGGTCCGTGTTCTAGTTTACTGCTCCTTTCCACAAGCCGGCCCCCACAGGTCTAATAAAATGCTTCAGAAAGAGGATCACACCTGAACTGTTCAAAACCAGTCCCACAGCCTCAATTTATTCTGAACGGAGCAACCCGGATTCTAACTGGAGTCTGTGGGAAGAAACAGAACAGTCTGGTGTTACATTAGCTGCCCTGGCTTCTAGTTTGATTTCGGGCTCAGTTCAAAGTGGCCTGGGATCAAAGTGCCTTGTGGAGCTAAGATCCACAGATGGTGCCCTTCTCAGAACAAAGTTTGAGTCCAGTGGCACCTTTAAGACCAACAGAGTTTTAGCGAAGGTATAAGCTTTCGTGTGCATGCGCACAAAAGATTATACCCAGAATTAAACTTTGTTGGTCTTGAGGGTGCCACAGGTGCCCTTCTCGAGGTGACAGAGGTGAGCACAGTAGATTCTGAGAAGACGGTTTTCAGCCGCCCCTCTGTTATGGAATTCCTTCCCTCTTACTATGGAACCTGTCCAGCCCCTTTCCTTCTGGCCTTCAAACCCAGTTTTTAAAATCTGGTATTGGTTAAAGTTTTTTAATTCTTGAACCTAAGACCTTTTAGAGACAATGCTATTTTGAGCATATTGTCGGAGTCTGTTCTTTGGTGCTGTTATTTTTAAAAACCTGAATCCTTTCAAGCAATTTCTGGATATGTGTCTATGTTCTAACAGATGTGATCGTCCTATCTCTTGAGATTGCTTTCAACAGCCTCAAGAAAAGGCCAGATCTAAATTCTCTGAGTAAAAGACCTAATAAACCACCAAGGGCCTCTCTATTATCTGCCACAATCTAGCTGTGTTGAAAAGAAGACGCTGGCAAAATGACTGAAACAGCACTCAAGATACTTAATTGAGTTGTTTTAAAACCATCAGAGTAGCATAAAAAAAAAAGATTTCATCAGTTTATTTAAACTAAAGGCCGAAACAGCTGCAAGCTATGTAATGCTGAAAACAAATTAAAGCACATTCCAGCAACTGGAATTTCTGCAATTCAGGTCTCTTTAATTAGGTGACAGAAAAGACAGCAGATGATAGTAGAGTAGGAAGGCAGGAAGGAAAAGGTGTGCTAACCTGATCAATTCAGAGCCTGTGTGGGCAATTTCTTTAAGAAGAGACCGTGCCCACAGGAAGAGGAGCAACCACATCACTGTCCAAGTTCATTTACACTTGTGACACCTTAAAGTATAACTAATTTATTGTGAGGGGCATGTTTCATGAGCCAGAATTAAAGGTGTGGCACTACTAAATGTAGATATATGCTTCAAAGAAACAAGTCTATCACTTTATTCCCTGTTCAAGTCTATCACTTCCTCTGATCCTAACAGATGGAGCAGCTACACTACGTTTTCTTTTAAAAGTGGACCTTCTGCTTTACTGAAACTCCATTTGTCAGCTGAACAGAAGGGTACGGCAAGGGAAGGTCTGGGTAAGAATCGGTTGTTCTGGGTAAGACACTTTTTGCACAGAGCCGAACTTTTAAAAGATACCTTCTGCAGCCTGATCCTATCTTTGTTCACTTAGTGGGATCCTATCTCAGTGGGATTAATAACAACATCCTCCCAGTGCCTATTCCGAAGCAATTCCCTCTGTGCTTAGTGGGGTTTACTTCTAGACAAGACAGCCACCCTTAGTGTTAAATGTACCAAAACTGTGGCCCCAATCCCACATGCACTTTTCAATAGGGGGACAAGTTTACTCCTCACTTAAAGGGGAGGATGCACGCAGACGTGCTCAGTGGGCCCAAGTCCCATTAAACTTTGGTGGGCCTTACAGGATCCAACCACCTGTGGGCACAAGGTCTGGCCACCCCTCTGGAATTCAACGCCACACTTGCCAGTGGTGTTCGGGTGGGATGGAAGAGAACATTCAGATATAGGTATGAGTGAGCGACAAATAGCAGGAGGTTTTTAAAAGATTCCTCCTCTTTCGACAACGGCTGCTTTTTATCTATAGATGTTAACTTCAGGGTATGACTGCTTCCAGGGATCGTCAGAGTACTCGTCTGCAACAGCATTTAACTGCTTTCAAGCCTTGGGTATGTCTCAACACACACAATCACACCAGTACGTTAAATCCGGCATCCTGCGCACCGACACACACACAACACAGTGGTGAAACTCTGGACCTGAAGCTTGCTTGTCTAATAGATCTACCCACCACCCAAGTATCATTTTAAAATCTATACAAATTATATGTATATCATTGATCAAATATCATTTAAGAAAAAAGCAGCCACTCTGCTCCTGAGTCGACCTATTCGTGTCTATTCACCCACAGCCGCCATACAGATCGGACTCTGAGCCTACCTTTAAGGCACACAATGAAAACACAACAACAACAACTACAACAACAACAACGCAAGAAGGGGACACCGTCCGCTCCCGGGGGCACCCTTCGCTCGCACAAAGTCTTCCGGGCGGCGCTCCAAGCATCCCCACAGGGGCCGAATCTTCCAGCTCACCGCTCCCCCCCCTTGACCACCCCGGTCTGCCTTTGTTCGTCTGAACGCGGGCAGGGCAGGCGCGCGGGGACTCACGCAGCTTCTTCCACATGGCGCGGTGGCAGGCGACGAAGCCCTTGCGGAGGGCGGCGCAGACGGCGGCCGGCTCGCGGGAGCGGAAGCCCCTCTGCTTCTGGATGAAGCCCCAGAGGTGGTCGCGGGCGAACTGGGCGGCCTCCCGCCCGCCGTGCCCGTCGCACACCGCGAAGAAGGCCACCGAGCGGGGCCCGAGGCCGTCGCCGGGCGAGGAGGGCGCCGAGGGGGAAGAGTCCTGGGCCGCCGCCGCCGTCGTCGTGGAGGAGGAGGCCCCCTCCTGGGGCCCCGAGGGCGGCTCGGGCTCGACGACGATCTGGGTCACGTCCTCCATGTATTTCCTGCCGCCCTGGTCCGAGAAGAGGCTCACGCCCAGCCAGCGCGGGGGGCCCGCCATACGGCCGGACGGGGGCGGCGGCGGTGGCGACGCGGCTCCGGCTCCCCGGCCGCGGGGGTGGAGAGGGAGAAGGGGAGGAAAGCAGCCCTCGGTCCGCGCCTCGCCTCGCCTCCTGCCGGGCGGCCGCTCAAGCGAGGATGGGGGAGGAGGAGGAGGAGGAGGAGGCGCGTCGAGGCGGCCGCCGCACGCACGCAACAATCCCCGGCGGAGCGCCGCGCAGCCCCGCGTTCCGAGGAGGGGGAGGAGCGGAAGCGGCGGCACCGCCCCCAGCCCGGCCCTCCGCCCGGGCAGGACCGGCAGTGGCAGGACAGGGCAGGGCGCCGCCCCTGGTGACGAGGAAGCTGGGCGGAAGGGGCGCCGCGGCTCAGGCTCAGGCCGGGGAGAGGCGCTCGGGGAAGGAAGCCCTCCTCCTCCTCCTCCTCCGGCGGTCGCCTGACCACGGCGCTCCCTCTGCTGCCTGCGGAGTCCGCGGAGCAGAAATTCTACTTTGGGAGCGGCCGGCGTGGAAGTCCTGGCCAAGCGAGAAGAACAGAAGAGAAGCCAGTGTTGGGCCAGGCCAACACTCTGTGTCACACAGTGGCCAGAAATGCCAGGGACCATCAGGAGGTCCACCAGTGGGGCCAGGACACCAGAAGCCCCCCCCCCCACTTTTGCCTCCCCCCAAAGCATCAAGAACATAAGAGAAGCCAGCGTTGGATCAGGCCAGTGGCCCATCCAGTCCAACACTCTGTGTCACACAGTGGCCAGAAATACCAGGCGCCATCAGGAGGCCCAGCAGTGGGGCCAGGACATTAGAGGCCCTCCCACTGTTGACCACCACCCCCACGAACACCAATGAAGACAGAGCATCACTTGCCCCAGACCGAGAGTTCCTACATATACCTTGTGGTTGAATCAGGCCAATAGCCCATCCAGTCCAACCCCTGATGGCGCCTGGTAGTTCTGGCCACTGTGTGACAGAGTGTTGGACTGGATGGGCCATTGGCCTGATTCAACATTGGGGGGGGGGCAAGAGTGGGAGGGCTTCTAGTGTCCTGGCCCCACTGGTGGACCTTCTGATGGGGCCAGGACACTAGAAGCCCTCCCACTCTTCCCCCCCCCTCAAGCACCGAGAACATAAGAGAAGCCAATGTTGGATCAGGCCAATGGCCCATCCAGTCCAACACTCTGTCACACAGTGGCCAGAAATGCCAGGTGCCATCAGGAGGTCCAGCAGTGGGGCCAGGACATTAGAGGCCCTCCCACTGTTGCCCCCCCAAGCACCCAGAATACAGAGCATCCCTTGCCCCAAACCAAGTGTTCCTATCTATACCTTGTGGCTAATAGCCACTGATGGACCTCTGCTCCATATGTTTATCCAACTCCCTCTTGAAGCCATTCATGCTTATAGCCACCGCCACCTCCTGTGGCAGTGAATTCCATGTGTTAATAACTCTTTGGGTGAAGAAGTACTCCCTTTTATTTATTAGTTTCTATTTATATCCCACCTTGCCTGCCTATCCGTTCTAACCCGACTGCTCAGCAATTTCATTGAGTGCCCACAAGTCCTTGTATTGTGAGAAAGGGAGAAAAGTACTTTTTCCCTCTACCATGCATAACTTTGTAAACCTCTATCATATCACCCCCTCAGTCACCGTTTCTCCAAGCTAAAGAGCCCCAAGCTCTCTGGCTGCTACATAAAATAGTTTGCTCTGGAGCCATCCTTCCTGAGCGAGGACAAGAATGCATGAGCCGGAGGGTAAGAAACTGTGAGCTTGCTCACACTAACTCAGCTTAGAGGGAACACTGTTCCTGAGAGAGAAAGTTTGCGCATCCTCCGCTGATTGATTGATTGGCTTTACTTTGTACCCCACCTTTCTTCCCAGAGGGGATCCGACGCTGCTCCCACACATTCGCCTCTCTTCTCTTTTAGCCTCATGACAGCCCTGTGAGGGAGGTCAGGCTGGGGGGGCGTTACTGGCTTGGGCCACCCTCCTTTTAAGGTTTGAGTTCCAGAACAAAAGAAGAGCCCGGGGGTCTCTTAGGAGGTTAGCAGCATGATTGTTACATAGCACTTTCTGCATCCACACACACCCCTCGCCACCTATATATCTCTGTCCAGTTTCTTCATACCCTCCATGTATCTGACGGAGAGAGCTGTGTTTCTCAAAAGCTTATGCTACAATGAAGTTTGTTAGTCTTGAAGGTGCTACTGGGCTTCATTGCTATTTTGCAGCAACAGACTTACACGGCTAACTCCTCTGGATCTATATCTCCTGTAATAGTGTATTGTATTTTGCTTCTTTGGTTTCATGAGCAAAAAAATTAATTTATTTATTACACCACCCCAAAAAATGGTTAAGACCATGGGTTACCCTAGGAGCTTGCTTTCGCGAGTCGCAGACGGCTTCTTCAGATATATCTGCAGGGCTGAGATCCAGGGAAGGAAGGTGAGGAGAGGTGGGATTTATGGTCTTGGGGGGGGGGAGCGCCAGCCAGTCACAGCTAACACCGTGGGGTCTTCACAGCAAGAGCTGATCAGAGGTGGTTTGCCTGTCTCTGCCTAACTACCCTGGACTTCCTCCATGGTCTCCCATCCAAGTCCTGACAGACACACTGGTTTCCTTCATTAACGCACAACTGTTCTCTCCAAAGTGACATACAACATTGTCCTGTTATCTGAAGAAGTGTGCATGCACACAAAAGCTTATACCTGGGATTAAACTTTGTTGGTCTTAAAGGTGCCACTGGACTCAAACTTTGTTCTCTTCTTCCCCCTTTATACTTACAACAACCCTCTCAGGGAGGGGGGGCTGTGAGTGTGTGACCCAGCGACATTCCATAGCAATAGCTGGGATTCGCAATAGTTGGGTTTCCCAGATCCTAGTTCAACATTTCAACTGCTACACCGTGCATCTGGAGTTGGCCCAAATGAAAGCTATTACATGAGTTGTGTTTTGGCCTTTGATGCAGGTGCTTTCGTGTGAGGGTTTGAGTGAAAAGACAGAGCGATGAAAGGAAGTGTTGCTGTTCAGGGTTTCGTGGGCACTGATGCTGCTTCAAGAGAGGCAACAGGAAGTTGTCTTTGGCTCAACTAAGGATTAAATGGGGGGATTCAGTGCCACTAGCATCAGTACGCAGAAGTCCAGTGGCCTCTCAAAAGACTAGGAGTTCTGGCATAAGGTTTCACAAGTCAGAGCTTATGAATGAGTAATGCATGGGGTCTGATGTGGGGAATTTCTGACTCACACGTTTATGCTGGAATAGGTTTTGTTAGTCAGTGACACCAACCCTGAATACCAGTAGGAGGCAGCCTCAGGAGAAGGCTTTGTCCTCTATGCCCTGTTTCTTGGTCCTCCAGGGCAACTGGTTGGCCACTAAGTGAAGAGGGATGCTGGACTAGATGGACCACCAGTATGACCCAGCAGAGTGTTGTTGTTGTTCAGTCGCACAGTCGAGTCCGACTCTTCGCGACCCCATGGACCAGATCACGCCAGGCCTTCCAGTCTTCCGCCATCCTCTGAAGTTTGCTCAACTTCATGTTCGTTGCATCTATGACATTGTCTAACCATCTCATCCTTTGCCATCCCCGTCTTCTTTGACCTTCAATCTTTCCCAGTATCAGGGTCTTCTCCAGTGAGTGCTCCCTTCTCATTTGGTAGCCAAAGTATTTGAGCTTCAGTTTCATTATCTGGCCTTCCAAACAACAGTCAAGGTTGATTTCTTTTAGGATTGACTGATTTGATCTTCTTGCAGTCCAAGGGACTCTCAAGAGTCTTCTCCAGCACCACAGTTCAAAAGCATCTATTCTTCAGCGCTCGGCCTTCCTTATAGTCCAACTCTCGCAGCCATACATGACTACTGGGAATACCATTGCTTTGACCATGCGGACTTTTGTTGACAGGGTGATGTCTCTACTTTTTATCATGCTGTTTAGGTTCGCCATCACTTTCCTCCCAAGGAGCAGGCGTCTTTTAATTTCATGGCTGCTGTCACAGTCTGCGGTGATCTGGGATCCCTGGGACGTGAAGTCTGTCACTACTTCCACGACTTCCCCTTCTATTTGCCAAGGAGTGATGGGGCCGGATGCCATAATCTTAGTTTTCTTGATATTGAGCTTCAAGCCCACTTTTGTGTTCTCTTTTACCCTGAACAAGAGGCTCTTTAGGTCCTCTTCACTTTCTGCCATTAGAGTGGTATCGTCTGCATATCTGAGGTTGTTGATCTTTTCCCCAGCAATCTTAATTCCCGCTTGTGATTCATCCAGGCCAGCATTTCGCATGATGTACTCTGCATATATATTAAATAAGCAAGGTGACAATATACATCCTTGTCGTACTCCTTTTCCTATGCTAAACCAATCAGTTGTTCCATATCCGGTTCTAACTGTCGCTTCTTGGCCCTTATACAGGTTTCTCAAGAGACATGTGAGGTGGTCTGGTACTCCCATCTCTTTAAGGACCTGCCATAGTTTGTTGTGATCCACACAGTCAAAGGCTTTAGCATAGTCAATGAAGCAGAAGTAGATATTTTTCTGGTACTCTCTTGCTTTCTCCATAATCCAGCGAATGTTGGAAATTTGATCTCTAGTTCCTCTACCTCTTCGAAACCCAGCTTGTACTTCTGGTAGTTCTCTATCCACGTACTGTTGAAGCCTAGCTTGTAGGATCTTGAGCATGACCTTGCTAGCGTGTGATATGAGTGCAATTGTGCGATAGTTTGAACATTCCTTGGCATTGCCCTTCTTTGGGATTGGAATGTATACTGACCTTTTCCAATCCTGTGGCCACTGTTGCGTTATCCAAATTTGCTGGCAAATGGAGTGCAGAACTTTAACAGCATCATCTTCTAAGACTTTGAATAGCTCAACTGGAATACCATCACCTCCACTAGCTTTGTTGTTAGTAATGCTTTCTAAGGCCCATTTAACTTCACATTCCAGGATGTCTGGCTCGAGGTCAGTGATTATACCGTCGTGGTTGTCAAGGACATCGAGGTCTTTCTTGTATAGTTCTTCTGTGTATTCTTGCCATCTTTTCCTAATCTCTTCTGCTTCTGTTAGGTCCCTACCGTTTTTGTCCTTTATCATGGCCAGCTTTGCATGGAACGCTCCCTTGATTTCTCCAACTTTCTTGAAGAGATCTCTAGTCCTTCCCATTCTATTGTTTTCTTCTATTACTTTGCACTGTTCATTCA